ACCTAATCACATATTATTATTATTTATTTAAAACATTTTATATATTTTATATATATATATATTTATATTCAATAATAATAATGAAATTTATTCATATTTACTATAATTTATTATATATTTTTATTCACAATAATTTATTTATTATATTTTTATTGCAATAATAAGAATATTTTTTTACCCAATTCATCTATTTCATCAGCTAATTCATAATATTTTGCTGATTGTTGCAAATTCGAAAATTTTTCTACATCACGTTGTATTTCTTTTAGAGAATCTTGTATTCCTTTTGAATCTAATAAATCTTTATTTAACTTCTCATGAACATCTTTAATTAAAGCTATAATAATTATATAGTAATATGAATATAATAATAATAAAATAATAATAATAATATAATAATATAATAATAATATAATTAATATGGAATACCCGTGATAACTTCAAGATGTTTTCTTAATCTTGCAATAACAACTGTTTGTTCATTATTAATATTATTATCATTTCTGTTATTGATGTTATTATTATTTCTCCTTTGTAAAAAAAATGAAGATGGAAAGAAGGACGTATCGTTATTGTCTGACAATGAAGACGAAGACGACAAGTTTGACATTTTAAGAGGCAACCGAATTTTTTATTATCAAAAAAAAAAAAAAGAGTTTAAATATATGTTTAATATAATATAATATGATATAAGGTGATATAGTTTTAGTTTCAATAATAAAAGTATAATTTTTCATTTATTTTGAACTTGCAAAGTTAAAATTTCAATCGGAGAAATATTCTCATCAAGTGGTAACATTTTATTAGAAATATCATTTCCATCGTTAAAACCACCAAAACTATAAATATTAAATGTAATATAAGAAAATTTTCTTTATTATTGTTAGGGAGAGAGAGAGAGAGAATTCACATATTTTTGTATACTATAATCTATATTCATACTGTATATACATAATCTAAATTCATATTCTAAATACATAATCTAAATAAATTCATATTCTATATTCATATTCTAAATACATATTCTAGTAAAAGCAAGTTCTATAATAAGAATTTTCGTTCGAGACAAACTATATACATAACATAAAGTACATACATACATACATATAGTACATAATAATAATAATAATAATAAATAATTATATAATCATTAATTCTCTATTATTCATTCATAATTATTATTATAATTATTATTATTATTATTATTATTATTATTATATGATCCTTCAATAAGAATATGATACCACCGTTTTTCTTGATATTGTTCAGAATTTTTGGTATTATTTCTGTTATTATTGATAGTATTCATCTCTATAATTTCATTGGAATTTGTGACGTTTAATGTCATATCATCATTTATAATCACCTCATTATTATTATTATTAGTATTATTATTAGTATTATTATTATTATTATTATTGTTGTTGTTATTATTATTCTCGTTATTATTATTATCATCATTATTATTATTCTTCTTCTTCTTCTTCTTCATCTTTTTCTTATTATTCTTATTATCATTACTATAATCACTTAATACGTCGTCAACATTTTTTCTCCACTTTTTTAATTCATTTTCATCATTATAATACAAAATCTCTTGATAAAGTTTAAATATTCCAAAAGGTATAAAACAAACTTCACCACTAGTAAATTTTGGTTTTACTTGATGAGATAATTTCAGATGAAATATTATCAATTTGGCTGATTTCTTAATAATTGGTTCAAT